CAGAAGGAGAGGCAGGGGGGAGGTGGGGCAGAAGGAGAGGCAGGGGGAAGCGGGGAGAAGTAATTGTTCGCAGCCTTATTTTATTACTTTTCCATCACAACAGAGGCTCACTGGGTAGTGTCAGTCCTCAGTTTTCCTTATTTCCAGCCTATCTGCCTGAGTTTTTCTCCTAAAAAGTCTGAATATTAGACAGAGAGAGGTATCAGCACGTTGGGGCTTCTAGCATCTACATCAATAGCTTTGTTTTACTTCTGGCCTGTGATGCATTGCACTGGACATGTGCTTGTTCTCCTAGGGCGATATGGCAAGAGGTGAGACCATGCTCACCATCTCTGCTGCCACGGTTATCCAGGAAGGATACTCTACATTAGCCACAACTGGACATGTAGTACACTAGAGGAGTTTTTGGAACATAGCCTGTTTTTAAAACCTTGGATATATTAAAGACAGGGAGGCCTACCTGCTTGTTCTCCCCAGGCTTGGGTTCCGTTGCCTTCCTGGCGCAATCCAATCTGCCACGGTTTTCCTTATATAACTATATGTGCTTTATATTTGAGCTGGTTTTATGAAGTTGTTTGTAAGTTGCCTTGAGTCAGTTGGGCATAAGAATCGCAGTCAATGGGAAACCTGGAATAAAAAAGGTTGGGGGGGAGGGGAGGAGAAACGAAAAAGAAAAAGCGACCAGGGGTTCTGGGGAACGGACTGGGGTGTCGTGACAGATCTGGGGCCTTCACTCTAACGGGCGACTCTGAGCATCTTATAACTCAGGCTGTTTGCTCCGTTTGTGTCTTCTGCTCCTGTTCTTTCTCTCCCTTTGTTCGCTTGTTCGGTCTGTTTACAGGTTAACAATGGCTAGCTTTGGAGTGCTGATTTTTGCCTTGCGTAGGCTGGCACCGCACAGTCCAGAATTGTTGGGGTCAAAGGGGGAAAGCGGAGCCTGTTATCGAAGGGGAGCGCTGGGGCCAGGGGGGCCTCCCGTCTCAGAGCAGGAGGCGTCAGCTCAGCACACCTGCCAGCCAGGTGGGGTTGTCTTGCTGTCTCCCCTGGATCCCCAGGAAGACTGGAGAGTGCGCGGAGGCCCTGGAAGGACTGGACGGCCTGTGCTTGTGGTGGATGACCCGCAGCCCCTCCGCTGCAGGTGGAGCGACCCTAGAAGTCTCCCTGGCCGGATACGGCACATCAGGCTCTTCCTTTATGGCTCTTTCACTGCGAGCCGGAAGCGTGTTTGTGTCACACGGTTGTTGCTGTTCAGCACTCCTTTACCATACTGACATGCTCTTTATTCCTCCCGCCTTTCAGTTTGGTGTTCTGCTATTTTCAATACTGGCTTATTTTACTCTTCTTTTCAAAACTGAAATATTGGCATATTTATTGGTTACATTTATTGTTATGTAATATCCACCTGAAGTGGATATAAATGAATATAAATATTTTATTATACTATTAAATTATAATTATTGCATTGACTATGGTAATATTAACTAAATCATTAAAATGTTTATCTTTCAGTTAACTACTCTCTGCTGGGCTCAGGGGCCTTTTGCTATTTGGCCACTGAAGACAACATGGGAGAGCATAAATGTCAACGTGTTTCTTTTTGATTTGGAAAAGCTGGTGGAATTGCTCTGTTCCTCTCAGGTCAATGGGCTGAAGTCCTCCAATTCATTCAACACCTTTGATGCGTTAAAGAGAGCCAGAAGTGCGACAGAGAAGAAGACGTTGATGTTAAAGAGAAACAGAACTTCCGGGTCGCTCTCTCCAGTGGATGGGCAAGCCAGAGTGGCCAGTGAAGAACAAGACTTCGGGGAGAGGCGTGCGGTCGGAGCTCTGGAACAAAGGGGCGGCATCCGAAGGCACAAGAAAGCAAAGAGCTCCAAGAAGCCTAAAGGGCAGCCCTCGGGAAAAACCAGCGTGACGGCCGCCACGGAGGCGGCCCAACTCCTTCTGTCCTGCTTTTTCCCTTGGGGTGTGAACAGAGAGTTGGACGGTCTTTGTGTTCAGCATTTAGGTATTTTGAGACTTTTCTCTCCAGTCTCCTTTGGACTACTGTCGAAAGACAGTTATCTCACTCTGATGTTACCAAGATGGAGCAGTGCTAATCCTGAAAGGGTGGAAAAGCAGCAGGAGGTGGTCAACCTATTTTCTGGCAAAGTGCTGCATTTATATCGTAAATACTATAGTGTAACCCAAGAGCAAGCAGGCAAGAAGAATGGATGCAGAAACGCTGCTGCTTCTGCAGAGCAAAGGCTAACTCTGGCTCATTTGTTGAGCAGGATGTCTTTAGTTCAAAGGATAATCAACAGGTCTTCAGAAAAGGCCAGGTAAGGTTGTCTAGCTTTTCCTGAAATAAAAATTGATTGCTGTAGTTGGAAGAAATGGATGGATGAACAGGTGTTGCCCATTGTATGCCATTCACAGGGTAGTCTAAAAGAACATCTTTGGGGTTGCCTTCTTCCCAGTCAGCTCCTCTGAAAGGCCTGAGCATCATGGTGGCTTGCCTGCTTCCTGGGAGAAGGCACCCTCCAGGCTCTCCTTGCATTGGGTGCCCCTCACTCCTCTTTCATGAATGAAGATCTGGCCAAGCATGTGCTGCTTCCTCTGACTGCCCCCCCCCCCCCTGCCCAAACCCCACCAGCTACTTGTTTTG